CCCCCCCCCCCCCCATCAACTAATGAGCTGATTAAAGGCCATTTAACATCCCTACTGATGGACACAAGAGACTAGATGCCCTGCCGTGCTGCTGGGAAAACGGGGAGCACTCGCATCTGTAGCTGTGGTGCTGGGCAGACGAGCCCTGCAGGCATGTAACTGGCAGTGCCTTGTGTTTGTCGTGCCTACGACACCCATCCCATGTGGCCCACTGGTCCAAGTCTGCATTCAGGCGGGGGAGAAGCGTGTGTGTTCGTAGGGGCTGAAGGAACGTGCACGACTGTTTTGTTTCCCTCATGGTGGCAGCAGGGAGAGGAAATTCCTTCCCTGAGGGTTTCGGGGAAGTAGATGCGAAGTCTCCAGTGTGTGTGGCTGGCACGGGGCGGGCTGCAGTCAGAGTAGCTGGGCTGGTCCCGCCTAAGAGGATTGAAGGCTCCGGAGACCAAGTGGACACGCTAGAACTCTCTGGTGGGGCCAGAATTAATCGCATCTTCCATGAGAGATTCCCCTTCGAGCTGGTGAAGGTAAAGCTAGTGCTGGTGTAAACGCGTCTGTCCTGCAGGGTTGGTTTTCTCCTCTCTCCACACACAGCAGAATGTCACTGCTCGCCTGGCATACACGTGGGGGAGTGTCCCCAATGCGTATGCCTGTCTTGTTTAGCAGCCAGCAGGGGGGGTCTCTGGCCATCCTCCCCGGTATTGGGTTCATCTGCTGCTCTGCTGACAGCCTCGTTATAAACCCATCCACTGCTGCCTGGCACCGGAGTCTTTGCAGAGCGGAGCTGTGGGAGGTGCACCCGGACTAGCTTGTCTCCTCCCCCTGAAGATGGAGGGATGGGCTGTTCTCTGATCGTCCGTCCTAGGGCGTCAGATCAGCAGCTGGTGCTGATGTTCCTCTGCTCTGACTTAAAGCAGGAAGCTGACTGGTGTTCTACCTTCCCACTGTGGCCGCCCATAGCAAAGCAGAGATGTATCAGGTCGTATGGGAGAGGGGCATTTGGCTGTCCCAGCCCCCCCCCCCTTCCCCGGTGACCAACAAGACCTGCTGTAATTCACTGCTCCTTCACTCAGCTTTCTGACGGCTTGCCTGCCTGGCAGGCTCTACAGCTGGGGAAGTGCGGCTGCCCCTCGGGGCTGGATGAGGGCGGTGTGAACACATGCCCCTTTGCGTGGAAGCCTGAGCCGTGCTTGTGCCTCGCCAGCGCCGGGCTGTGTGATCCGCCCTGTTTCTCTTTCAGATGGAGTTTGATGAGAAGGACTTGAGGCGAGAAATTAGCTACGCGATTAAAAACATCCACGGCATAAGGCAAGTATCGGAGCAGGAGAGCTGCGGCGCAGCAGTGCGTCTGCTCTGCCTGTGGTCCTGGACGCGCCGTTAGTCCGGGTCGAACCTTGGTACCACGAACCGTGTGTGGCTGTCAGTTGAGAGCCCGCGTGGCCATGGGAAGCGAGGGGGGTTAGACCAAAGTTGGTTCTGGGCAATGGGCGTGTGTTTGCAGGCTCACTGCGGGTGCCGTTGTCTGCTCAGCGTAGTGTTTGCTCCGACTCGATTCTGGGAGTTGGGCTGCGGTGGCTCCCCTCATGGAGCAGTGTCCCGAGAGCAAACTCTGAATGTCGTCCTGGTAGAGTTGGGTGACGGCACGAGAGCCTTGAGCTTGGGACAGCAGAATTCCTCCTTTGCCTTCCCAGAGGGCGGACGGTAGCACGTGGGGCGTGTTTGGAGAGCTGAACGCCCGGCTAGCGGAGGAGCCAGGCTATTACCGCCCGTTGTGCTTGTGAACAGCTGGGTCAGGGAAGCCATGCTCCATACAGAGGGCTAGTCCTGCCGCACGGCCAGTCTGCTCCACGCTCACTGTGGCTGTAGTTCAGTGAGCTGGGGAGCCCTGCCCTTAGCGTGCCTGTGCCCCTGGGCTGATCCGGCTAGCGAAGTCAAATCTGGAATTGGCTGAATGTAGTGCTAAGAGGGCTGCTCCTGCCTCCCCTTCTCCCTCCCCTTCTGGGGCTGCCACTGCTCCCGGCCCCCCTTCCGTTCCCCTGTGGGCTGGGAGCAGGGGGCCCGGTGGAGCTAACCGGTTAGCCCTGAACGTCCCTTGGTCTGACTCGGATTGAAGGCCTCTGCCACTCACGTGCAACAGAGCTGGGTCCTACCCAAACCTGCCTTGTCGCCGTGCGAGGCCGACGCTAGAGCCCACGCACTAGAGAGCCACTTGGCATGCGTGTCCGTGGCAGAGCAACGTGTGCGCTCGCGTGGGGGCGTGGCCCGCTCCATTGGGGTCCCCGGGCAGCACAGCCGCACGCGGGGGCCCGTCGGGGTCCGGGCCAGGCCGCCCAGGGAAGGGACTCGCTGTCTCAGCTGCTCTGCCAGGTCAGACCGTTGCCTTAAAGCCTGTTCACCCATTTTGTGTTTTCTCTGCCCTTCCTCCCTGCCCGTGCGTGCGGCTGCCTGTAGGACGGGGCTTTTCACGCCAGACTTGGCATTCGAGGCCATTGTGAAAAAGCAGGTGGTGAAGCTGAAAGAGCCCTGTCTGAAGTGTGTCGACCTGGTTATTCAGGAGCTAATCAATACAGTTAGACAGTGTACCAGTAAGGTATTGAACCGCTGGAGGCTCCAGCCCTTCTTACAGTGGGTGGTAAAGCAGGGTGCTTCCTGCCCCCCTGCCTGGCAAAGCTCCCCCCAGCTGGGTGTGTGTAGGCTAAACCAGTCCCACGGCCCCACCGGTCCCAGCCTAGCATGAGTGCAGGGCACATCTCTGGACTCGCCCCGCCAGACTGGCATGCCTGGCCCTGGAGATGGGGTGAGGGTTGTCTCTAGCACCCAGGGCCCTGGCCTGGCCCCGCTCTGAGGAGGGCCAGCCCTGCCCAAGAGCCAGGCAGCGCCCGGTGGCTTAGACGAGAGCCCTCAGATGGGGTTCTGTTCCCTGGCCTGCAGGGTGACCCTGGGGTGTGCTCCTCGGCGCCTCCATTTCCTGTTCGCAAGGGAGGTGAGCGCGTTACTCGGCTTCTGAGCAGCGCTGTGGAAGAGCGAGGGCGGCTGGGCTCCCTCCCCGGGGGGCCTCCCATGCCCATGTGACATCCAGCTGCAGGGCTCGGAGGCGAACGGGAGCAGCAGCTGCCGAGCTCTTGCCTCAGAGCGCCGTGGAGCCTGCCGGGCAGGCGGGCAGGCAGTGCCGGGGTGCTGGGGCCTGTCTTAGCATGTGCTCCGTCACTTCTGCTGCGGCGCGGCTCGGCTCAGCTCTGGGAAGCTGTGGGGAATGGGAGCGAATGCTGGAAATGGTCTGCAGCGTCACTGGGCCTGGCTTATCCAGCCCGCCGTTCGCTGGCGAGCCCGTTTCAAAGGCTTCTCGCCCTGGCACTGGGCAGGAGCCCATCGGCCACTTCCACGTTCACCGGCTCCTTGGGGGGACTCTGCTCTCGCTCGATCCAGTAGTGATGGATTGAGAAACTTCTGTACGTGTCAGACAGGGTCCTGGACTGGAAGGATGCCCTGCCCTGAGCCGGGCTGTCGAGCTCTGGAAGTGCCCGGTAGATCCAGACTCCGGTCGGTAGCAAAAAGGACTTTCAAAAAGAGACGCAGCCCCTGACTCCAGCTTCCCAACGTGCCTGGCTTGAGCAGAGCCGCTCCACACGCGTGCAGCGACGCATGTTGCTGGCTGGGGAGCTCGTTTCGGGGTCCGGAGCTGTACTCTGTGTTGCTGCAGTTGTAGTGATGTGTGTAGCGTGGAGAAGCCAGCACTTGCTGCCAAAGTTCCTTCAGTCCTAGCTAACGAGGTGGGGGAACTCCGACTCCTTCCGGGTGGGTGGGGGTGCGCGCGCAGATGAGCAGTGCCCGGGAGAATCCCGCTCCAGTCAGTGGGGTGTTGGGGCCGGGCTCGCGACGTTCTCACAGGAACGTCTCTGGCGCTAGCTTCCATGGGACCCGTAGCCGCGGCTGTTTCAAACAGCCAGGGGAAGAGGCCAGCGCTCCATGCCCTCCGACGGCAGCAGGCAGTGCCCCCTTCCCCGTGTGATGCCTAGCGGGCCACTAGATCAGCTGCTAACTCGCGGCTTGGCCTGGAGACGGGGGCAGGAGCAACGAAACCTTTGCCTGTACTGAGGCCTGGCTGAGCCAGACATGGAGTGCTCTGGCTCTGGAGGGATCCCATCACCTGCTTCTGGCTCCTGGGAGTGCCGGGGGGTGGGAGCAACTCACCATCATCCTGGCGCCAGGGTAAATGATCACGCAAGGGAGCCGGCGCGCGGGGATGATCACGCAAGGGAGCCGGCGCGCGGGGATCAGACCCTCACAAGTCCAGGCCTTAACAAAGGGAGCTAAGAAACTGATGCTAGGAAATGAATTGGCGCATTTTCAAATGAACCTGAAGGAATTTTCCCAGGCGGGTGCTGCTGCTTTTCCCTCTGCACGTAACTAACCTTTTCTAAATCTCCTTTTCTTCTCTCCTGTCTCCGTCGCTGTGTCCTTCCCGCCCTGTGTGCCTTGGTGTCTCCTCTTTCCGCTCTGTGCTCTGCATGAGGCAGGACGGGGCTCTTCACGCCTGACATGGCTTTTGAAGCTATAGTGAAAAACCAGATTGTAAAGCTCAAAGAGCCCAGTTTGAAGTGTGTTGACCTGGTGGTCTCAGAGCTGGCCACAGTCATTAAAAAGTGTGCGGAAAAGGTAACTGGTCTTAATTCCTTCCTCTGCCTAATCGGCACACCTGGAATGTATTGGCTTGCAGGGCCATTAAACTAGCCTCGTGGGGAGCTGTGTCCATGTCCGTGCAAGGTGCCCCACGAGTATAGACTTAGCGCTGCCCTGGCGTTCTGGCCTGGGGCCTGCAGATACGTATTGCCCAGGTGTTGCTTCACACCCAAGGGACAGGCTCAGATTGCACCTGCAGTAGCTGAGGGCAGTGTCTCTTGCTTCGCGTGAGCTGCGCTTCATGCCTGGGGGGTTAGCTTATCCGGGGAGGTGGGGAAGAGACGTACGTTTGCCAAGGGCTGTACGGCCTCCCAAAGCTGAGCCTGCCCATCTCCCCAGCGACAGCAAAGAACTGCCTTGTCTTGGGCTGTCTTCTGAGCCCCCTTCTGTCCTCCTGACGCGGCCGGGGCGAGTCCCGTCGCTTCCTGTCCTCTTGGGTTTTGTGGGGGCTTTTATGTCCTGCCCCTTCCTCTCAGCTTGGCTCCTACCCCCGGTTACGCGAGGAGACGGAGAGGATTGTGACCACTCACGTCAGGGAACGGGAAGGGAAGACAAAGGACCAGGTAAGCTGCCCTCGGGAGGGAGGGAGCGCGGCTCTCCTGCGGGGCGTGGGACCCAGGCAGGCTGATCTCGGCGCTGTTTGGGGGGAAGCCGACGCTCCAGCCAGCGCCGTGCAGTACAGCCAAGGCCTGCTCCGCTCCGCCAGCCGCCTAGCAGCCTGCAGAGCCCTCTGCTGGTGGTGGGTCGCCCTGCCGCCCTTCTGGCCCGTCTGGCTGCCGTGCTGAAAGGCGCTTCCGTTGTGGCCTGTTGTTGGTGACTCGGGTCCGTGTTCTTTCCAGATTCTCCTCCTGATTGACATCGAGCTCTCCTACATCAACACGAACCACGAGGACTTCATTGGCTTTGCCAAGTAGGTGCCCGTCTGCTGTAGCCGGGCGCTGGGTTGCAGGGCACTTGGCTGCAAGGAGTGAGCACTGCGGGGGCCGCTCCGCGGAGCCAGAGGCAGGGAGCTGAATGGTCCAAGCCTTGGCGGTGGCAGCTGAGCCTTCGCCCCCCTGTGATGCTGCTGCTGCTGGGCTGCTGGCAGGGCTGGGGAGGGGAACGCTGGTCCTGTTGCCTCTCCCAAGTGAGCCTGACCTGCAGGGGCCTTCGGCAAGGTCCGCCTCTGTTCCAGGTCTTTGCCTGTGGGGGTGGGGTGGAATGCCTGGGGACCGGCTGGGATCCAGGGGCACCCTCGTGAAGGATGCTCCCTGCCCCAAGGAGCTTCCAGCCTAGAGCAGATGGCAGGGAAAGGGGGAGGAGGGCTACACGAAGGAGTGTGAAGAGGTGGCAGCGTGGGCCTGGCAGGAGCACTGGGCGAGCTCTTGGCGCGCGGGGGAGCAGGGCTCTCAGGCTGGAGCTGGAGTGTTCTCTCAGCCCTGAGTGAGAGTTGCAGTAAGTGGCAGCATCGACTGTCTGTCTGGTGCCGTGGTCTGGCCGCCAGAGCGGACAAGGCCTCTGAATGTCTCTGGCTGTCGGTGGGTTTGAGGTTCCCCTTCCAGCAAAGGGAAAACCAGAACCAAGCCCTTGTCTACACCTGAGAACGAGCCTGTAGTGAAACGGGGTGTGACTGTCAAGTGGATTCGCTCTTTGGCGTCCCTGCGTGGCTGCCTGCGCTCTGCAGCGAGAGCTCCCACGCAGGGAGCTCGCGAGGACGGAAGCCCCCTCAGAGCGAGTGCAGCTGCCCAAGGCTATCTCGGGGCAGCAGGCTCCTTTCTCCCCCCGCCTCACTTTCCGTTTTCCTCTGGCTCCCCCCAAGTCTCTGCTTCTCACTCCATTTGCTGTTCCTTCCTCTCATCATCTCTCCTGTTTTTCCTTTGAACCACTTCACTCTTCCCTCGGGACTCTCGACTCCTAACACCCCCAGCTGTTACACTGAGCAGCACTTGGCAACAGGGTGGGTACCTGCTGGAACCAGTGTGTAACGGGTGACGCGTGGGCATGGACTCGTGCTTGCAGCGCCGCCGGGAGTGGCTGGCAGCCGTGTGAATGCTGCTTTCATATTAGGCACCTTCTGGAGAGACTTGAGCCCTTGTCAAACAGTCGGCTCTGAGCTGCTCCCTCGCAGGCTGGGAGTCTTTCTCCTGTAGCTTCAGGCACCCAGCCAGAATCTCGGCCGTCTCCCCCCACGCAGACCCTTGGATTTCCCCTGGCCCCCTGCCGCTCACCTTCAGACTCCCTCCCTTCCCCAGCAAATTCCTTCCTGCCACTCCAGCCTGAGCTCTGATTAGCCTGGAGAGCTGCCGGGCAGGCCCCATGCCAGGTGGGGAGCACAAGGGCTGTAGACCCCCTGGAGTATCCGTATGGAGCAGGAACGGTGAGCGCAGGCCAAACCTGGCTACACTTGGGGTGTTGCTGGGTTAACTAACCAAGGCCTCGAACCGCTTTTCCTCCGACTTGCGTGGCACGTGCTCTCCGGCGAGCTGCAGTCTGCCCCTGCGCTGTGCTAGAGGTGCCCGTCCTGGGTGTGGGTGGCTCCCTGTCTGTACTGGTCTGAAAGCGCCAGCAGCGCCCCCGGGGCCCAATGGCATGTGCAGCTGGTGCACGGAGCACTTCAGAAACCTCCTGGCCTCATGTGCTGGCGGGGCAGTCAGAGAGCCTGCTGGAGCTGTGCTGTGTGGCAGGCCTCACCCCAGCGGGGCGAGCCGCTGCCGTCTGGCACGCCACTCCCTGCCGCCCGCCATAGGCGAGCCGAGTGGCAGCATGCAAGCCAGCCGCTGCTTCGCCTGTAGACCACCGCGAGCGAGTGCGCGTTGGGCTCCGCGGCCCCGTTGCTGGGCGCTCCTGGCGCTGTCGGTTGTAAAGCCGGGGTGCTTTTTATTTCAGTGCGCAGCAGAGGAGCACCCAGCTGAACAAGAAGAGAGCCATCCCGAATCAGGTACGACCCGCTTGCTCAGAGCGCCCCTCTCGGGAGCATAGGCGGGGGCGGGGGGATCCCGTGTGAACAATCTCTGCAGTCCGAGCGCTGAGGTTTGCAGCCCCAGAAGTCTCGGGAGTGGAATCAGACCAGTTGGCACACTGGTGCGGGGTTGGTCCTGCCCGGTGTAGCTGCAGACAGGAGGACTGTCCCCTCTTCTAGGGTAACCTCTCTCTGTATGGCCCCTCCCTCGGTGACAGTCTAGACAAGTGGGAGGGGCACCAGAGGGGGGGTGGGAAGGTGGGGGTGCCGTTTCCACTAGCCGGCCGTCTGGCGGGTGACGGGCAGGGGGAAGGCTGGCATCACGGGGGCGGGAGCAGTGCTGAACTGTGGCATCTCGTCACCCCGCTGTCCAGTGCGGTGCTGCTGGGAGAGCAGGCTTAGCAGTGTCCCAGTGCATGGTGCCAGCCTGGCTGTGTGGAGCCCACGTGGGCGTTGCTCTTGTTCGGCAGCACTGTGATGACATTAACACTGTATCAGTATCATTAATAGCATGTAACTGGTTTCTTTTGCTGTTTTTTCTGCTGTTTTCTTACTGTTTTTGTGCTTCCTGCTTCTCCCCCCCCCCATCACTTTGTTCCTCACTCTGTCCTCTCGTCCTTTTTCCCTTATTTACCCGCAACCCTAATTTTGCGCACCTAAGGGTGAGATACTGGTAAGTACCTGTATAGCGTGATAGTGAACTAGAAGTAAAGCCCAGTGATGGAGGCGCCTTTAAAACACAACCCCCGCGAATCTACGGGATGCCCCTCGTCTTAAAACCGAGCACACTCACGGTCTGGCACCATCAGTGCAGCAGCGCGACTTCTTTCAGGGCTCTGGTCCATGGCGGGAAACCTTACAGGGTCCCCTGATCTGGCTGAACAACTGGACTCCTGCTGGCCCATTGTAGGGAGACGGGGTGGGAGGGGCAGGGGTCTGAGCCTCC